GGGCTGGAAGGGACCTCAAAAGATCATCTAGTCCAACCCCCCTGCCAGAGCTGGGTCACATAGAGTACATCACACAGGAACTCAGCCAGGTGGGTTTTGAATGTCTCCAGTGAAGGAGACTCCACAACCTCCCTGGGCAGCCTGTTCCAGGGCTCTGTCACTCTTACAGTAAAAAGTTTTTCCGGATATTCACCTTGAACCTCCTATGCTCCAGTTTGCACCCATTACCCCTTGTCCTATCACTGGTCATCACTGAGAAAAGCCCAACTCCATCTCCCCATTGACTGTGAGAGGAGGGTGAGAGGAGTTGTGTGTGAGCCTTGTTTTCGTGTTGGCGGCAGCCGAAGTCAGGGTGCGCTGTCATTAGTTAAATGAGAAACCGTATCTCTTCCATCTGCTGGAAATGTGTGTAAGCTCTCTGTTAGGAACTTGGAACGTAAATTAAAAAGCACCTAGTTTGAACTGCACAGCAGGAAGTGTGTTGGTGGTGTTGCTTAAAATAAGAGTTCTTTCAGGCTGTGGTCATATTGCAGGGGGATTCTGCCTGTAAGTCAGCTAAGGGTGAGACTTAGTAGTGCTGCATCCCATGATAGTTTTTAGATGTGGACGGTGACAGATTCAGGAAAAAAAAATGATGAGGAGGACAGAATAATCATTCTTTGCTTGGATGAGGTCCCAATCAGAGTGACATTGCTCGTGTTTCTGGAAGACAGGCTGCTTTCTTTATCTTGTAATTTTAAGTGCTGTAGGCAGTCCTAAAGTAGACAGCTGTAAATTCGGAACAGACCAAAATTACATTAACTGTTGGTAGCATATATGAATTATGTTGAACCTTTATTCAGTGTGAAGCATCCTATGCTTTTTTTGAGCATGGAAACAGAATCTGTCATCTGTTCTTCACCGCTGTCGCCTTTGATGGGATATTTAGTGTGGCAGTAATACAAATCACACTGGGGCTTGAATATGGAGGATTTTTGTGGACGTAACATGAGTGTTCAGAACAAATGCTGAACTTGTTACAGGGGGAGCAAAATTACAGGAGATGAAGGAGGAGGCCTTTGTCTAGTGGATGGTAAGTCAAATATGAGTGAGGATGGCCATCTGCATTTTGGGCTATGTTAGCAAGGCCATGACTGTTAGACCAAGCAAATATTTTTCCCCCTCTTTTGAGAGCACAGGTCAAGTTTAAAGTCTCTCAATATAAGAAAGATGCCAACAAGCTGGAAGGGGTGCAGAGAAGGGCCACTGACATTGCTGGGTGGCTGGAGCACTGATGTGTGTGGAGAGGCTGAGAGACCTGCTAGTGTTTAGCCTGAAGTAATGAAGCCTTAAAGGGCATCTTACTGCTGCTCTTAATGAGTGATTATAGCAAGGGGAAAGTTAATACTCTTCTCAGCAAAGGGACAGGAGGCAACATGCACAAATTGCAGTAAGGGGAATTCTGAGTAGAATAAAGAAAAACATTTTCACCATGAGGTTCATCAAGCTCTGGAGTAGGGGCCCGGGGAAGCAAAGGGATCTCTGTCCTTGGACATACTACAAACTGAACTGGACATGGCCCTGAGAAACCTGATCTAATGCCTTAGTTAGCAAGAGGTTGGACAAGTGCTGTCCAGTGGGTCTTTCTGATACAAATTATTCCATAATACTCTTCAAAATGAGGAAAGAATGTTGTTCAGAATAGTTTACCATCTTTAAGAGAAGGCAGTACTTTAGATGTTGCCTCTGTGGTTGACAGCGAAGAAGATGTAACATTTTAATTTCTATTAGAGGTTAGTGTATGAATGCACAAGTGAGCTTTGAAAACTGCGACAACTGCATTTGAGGTATTGCCTCTAACATTGCAGGCAAAAGGATAAGTAATATTTTGTAAGGTTGGCTTGTGTGAACAAGGCTTTGCATTTACTTGGTATGGATTTTGTATTTGGAGAAGGCCATAAACAAGTGAAAAAGTAATAGGCAGGAGAGTGTAACTTTCAGTAATCTTTAAAGCTGTATAATCACCTCTGAGTTTGAAAAATATTTCTGTGCCATAACCCATGCTCCATACTGTTTTCTTAGCTAGTAGGTGGGACCAGTGGAGAAGTCCAGGCGTAACAATCTGATAAGTACTGTGGTGTTGAATGCTACTCCTAAATCCTGCTTGGTCTCACAAGTTGTGTTTCTTTTACTTGTTGTGGGTGTTTGCTGCCTGACAGGTTCTGGAGTTTGACTCTGGCAGCTGGAATGAGAAAGAGCTTTCTCTTACTCTCCCACATGCTCACTCTCTCCTGTCCTTTTCCCTTAGCTGACATACCCAAAACCACATGCATTAAATCAGTGAAGTGCCTGTCACTAGTGCTATGTGCTCATACGCTGCTGGAGATAAATCCGCTGCTCATCACACTTTCCTCAAGAACACGCGGAGGAGCAAAATGTTGCAAGCTTGGATTAGTGGAACAGGCTTGGATCATGGGCACAAAGTCTCAGTCACAAGATCATCTTTCTTCTCATTAATATCTTGAGCAATGTGGGTAAAGGCCAATTTCAAAACTGAAGGAGAAAGAACAATCTGGCTTTCACAGAAAGGGAGGGAAAACTGAGACTGGGAAATAAGTTCTGGTCTATTATGTGTTTTCACATCTTCTAGGAAATGCAGATTAGAGCTGGTCTGCTATGTAGGTTTTGTTGTCATTGGGTTTCTGTTTAGTAGTCATTGGCGTTCTGATAGTATTAGCAAAATTATGTTCCAAATTTCAGTCACTTGTTGCTTGCAAAACCAGAACAGGAGTAAAGGAATGATGACATATGTGTAGCTAAGCATAGGAACTCTGCAATCGTACATGCTGTAAGTTACGTTTTAATAAAGAACCAAAACACAACAGCCACAAGCTTAGGTTCTTTCAGATACTACTGTTCTTACTCATTTCCCTCTACAAGCATACTTTATACTTGCAAAATCTTTTTCTTCTTGGTCCTGACTAGCAGTTACATCAAGTCTTAACAAAAATTTTTCTAGACTAGGATAATTTTTTTCCCTCAAGAATATTGTTTATGTTGTTCTAGAGCTGTAGCTAAGATAGCCAAGCATCCAGGTTGTCTCATGTTTGTAAGATTAAGTGAATAGCAAGTTTTCCCCTAAATTTTACAGAGATAAGAAAAAAGTGTTGCTCCAGAATTACAGAAAGCCTGAAATATCAGCCTAGAGAGATCTAGCCCTGAAACTTCTTAGGAGAAGTTAGATTCTTACACATAGAAACAGTACAGCCATAGCTTTACTCTGTGATCTTGTCCTTTCTACTGCCTCTCTGTGTTGTGCTCTGGGACTTGGCATTTAACAATCTGTAATAGGTATGGCTAAAGGTGTCTATAGGAGTGAGACTTGCTCATTTGAGACTGTCTTCTTCCCGAGTCATAATATGCATGTTGTTCGTGGAAGCATTTAGTTGTTTTTTTATAGCATTGGGTTTGAAATTTGTGTTGATTCCTGTTGTAGTAAGTGCCTGGGAGAAAGTTTTGAGTGTACTGCATGCTGTGCAGAACAATAAATTAGCCTAATCAGTATGACTTTCTGAGAATTGAAAGTACAGCATAAATTGGTATTGGAAACAGTATAAATGTTCTGGATCTGCGTAATTTGAGCAGTTTTTAATGAGATAAAATCTTAGCCTGACATTAAACCATGCACTACCTTTGTCAATTGTCATCATTTCCATTACACAAAAGAAAAGGACTGAAAAAGTAAAAATTTTGCTGTGTGAACCATTGTATTTCTAATAGGTGCTTCTGGGATGGGATGTAAATAGAATGTGAACAAAATGCATCAGAGAGGTTTTTCAGTATGTTTATGCAGTATAGGCAGGTCTGTTTTTTTAGGATTCATTAATCTTCCTTTTTTTTTTTTTTTTTTTTTTTTTAATTGAACAGGAGATGATAGGTGGAAATGAATCTTGTTCTACAGGACCAATACCTGTGTCATACATAACCTGCCTGACTTACATTCTGGGAGAATGGACTGGTGTGGAGCATATTGAAGATTATTTGAGTTATGCAGTCTACCTTTTATGGGTGCTTTTTCCACTTGCAGTAGTTTTTCTACTTCCAGGAGTTATTGTCATCCTCTTCTACATTTCCATTCTCTTACTTCATATTTATAAAAGAAAGAATGAACTGAGGGAAGCTTATTCCAGTGATTTCTGGGATGGTGCAAAACTAATGTTAGCTGCCCTATGGGATGGACATGGAAGAATATGGCATGGTAAGTGAGATCTGACTTTTCCATAAAATACTCTGAAGCTCTTATTTCTGTTTTATCTCTCAGGATTATCAGTATATGTGTGATTGTTGCTGCTGTTGCATGAAATCTGAAATTCAGGCCAATTATTTATTTTTTCCATTTTATCAATGATTTCTAGTGGTGCTTGGGGAAAGAAAAGTCATCGAGACTTTTTTTTGATATAGCTTTTTTTGGTCTTATACATTCCTTTGCTGCTACAAATTGAGATCATTCATCCAGTTGAATATACATGCTTTTTTTTTTTTTTTCCTTTCTATAGCTACTCCCAGATTTCCTTTCCAGAAGGACCTGAAATGAATCCTATGTTAAAAATCAGATAAATTACCTATATTATTTAAGAGTCAGTATATGAACACTGGAAGTCCAATGCCAGTTCCCTGATAGCTAGTATGGCAGCATGTTAGTATAATTTAATCACACTTAACCAGTCTTTTACATATAATGCCAAATGGAGCACTTAGTGTCAATTCACTTTGAGATACTTCAAACTGACTTCAGAGTCCAAAACTGTTCCAGATCCCTACTTTATTTTCTTTCTATGTGTTTTTGACAACTACTTTCTCTACTAGAATGTCAAAACCTAAAGGCTCTGTTCCTTGTCCTTCTACTATTAGTTCTTTTATAAAGATTTTAATAAATGATTTGGCTTTTCTTTCTAAGGAAATGATAAGCCTCTTTCAGAACTATTCAGTCTAGATGCAGCTAAAGGAGGAAGAGATGTTTAAGAGCAATTTACATAAAGAACAAATCCTTCTTGAAAATCATCTCTATTTGTTCTCTAGTCAAAGGGAAGTGGGTTTTCAAGACATTGATAACCAGATGGTGCAGTGGCTGTATCAGCTAGGCTTTGTAAGAGAAAGATGTAACTTTCAAATCTAGGAAAGTGCACTAGATCAAAATCAACAGCTACATCAAAGAGCTTAAAATGCTGGTTTCACAATAAAAAGCTATTTACTTTTTTTCATAAGAAAATGATTTTTTAAGGCCTTGGCTCTTTTCATCCTTAGCAACTTTTTATAAGGTCTGAGTTTTCATTTGTGACAAAAAGATTCTTATCCAGTCCCTCATTGACAGTTGTGACTTTTTTCTGCCCTGCCAGCTGCTTCCATGTTCTCTATACATTTCTCTGGCTAAAGATTGAAATGTTTTATAATTATTTTTTTACCCTACTTGATTAATCAATTTATTTCAGGAAGAATTTTTCATTCAGAAATATCATAGCATCAGAAGAAAGAAAAAAAAAAAAAAGCAAACCCCAAACCAAAAGGCCCCAAACCTAAAACCAGTGTGTGATATCTGTAACTTCACATACATTATGTCAATGCTACATGTAGGTATCACTCTGGTTGAGACTGGCTAGCATGAAGCACATTAGTGGTCACTTGGGATGCTACAGAGCCAGGAATACCTTCAGAATGAAAACAATAAATTAATGGAATAAGAATTGCAGACCTGATTAGCTTCAGAAGAAGTGACAGGTTTTGTTTGTCTCTCTTCCCCCCAGCTCCCCTTCCCCATTTTGTTTGTTTGCTTATTTAAAAAAAACAGCCACAAACAACATACTGTAACAATATTGCTCAGTAATAACTGAATATGTTCTGTATGTGTTTTGGTATTTTTTGTTAATTGAATATATTCTGCACTGTTGACTTAATTAAAAATGTTAGTTCTGTAAGAAACTTGTGTGTGTTTAAGTATGTTTACATTAAGCATATAAAGCCCCAAATAGCTTTTAGTACATTGTGATGGAAAAATGAAGCAAGTGTAATTCTGAGAGAAATAACAAAAATAAAGTTCATACCCTGGAGTAAAACGAGACATAAATGGATGCTGTAATGTCAAATGTTCTTAAACAGTTACTGGCAGCAATGACATTAAAAAGGTAAATATTAGCTCGAAATAGTTGTTTTACCACTCCTATCCAATCCTTATTGTGGTTTCTCTTGAGTGATTGATTCAGAGGACTCTGCAGCATTGAAGACAGTGAACTGAAACAAATTAGGAAAAAATTACATAGTTCAAGACAGTGAGACTGGGTGTTTTCAGGTTGTTGGTTTTTTGTTCTTTCTTTTAATGTGGTTCAACTTGCATTTCCTGTGGAAGCAACTTAGTAAATGCTTCATGTTACCTTTTGTCTTTTTAGGGTCACTTTGCTCTTGCCACATCTCAGTAGCTATCAGTTTCAGTTTGCTTACTTGCTGCAAGTTTGTTTCTTTGGGATAGAACTGTATCAGTCTTTGACATCTGTTATGCCTTTTGTTCTAACAGGTTATGAGCTTCACGGTACTGAAAATATTCCTGAAGGACCAGGGCTTATTGTGTTTTATCATGGAGCTACTCCTGTTGACTATATCTATTTCACGGCTAGACTTCTTATACAAAATAAGAAATACTGCCACGTAGTAGCGGATCATTTCGTCTTCAGATTGCCAGGTAACATACTTCATTATATACAAGCTGTTTGAGAACTGTATTTTTTTTTAATTACTATTACTATTTTTTAGTGGTGTAATTAATGAAAACTGAGCCACAGTAACTCAGCTCTCAGCTGAGTGAATGCAAGTATCAGACAAAGTGAATGCAAGTATCGCAGTACAGCTGTTTCACATATTCTTTATGAGAAAGAATGGTTTTATGAGACTGGCCCATGCAAGGATGGCTCATACTCCTGGCTGGGGAATACATTTCAATGACTCTAGAGTGTTTAGAAACAAAGAGATCATTGGAGAAACAGTTGCCTCTCTATTAACTGGTAGCAAAGACTTCAATGAGCTGGTTCTTTTTTTTTTTAATTACTATTAGCAGAATGGGTGGTGTAATCTGATTAAGAAAGAAACTGTTCGGAAGCAGTGTCCTTGATGTTGACAATATTAGTCTGGGGAGGCAACATATTTTCATAGAGCAGTTCACTCTGTCCCCCAGTGGACTGTTCTAAGTAGATTATTTTTTGGAGGACAGCTGTAGAAGTGTCTTAACAAGTTTGTGTGAAATGGGAGAGGAAGCAAGAAGAAAATGAGAAATATGTCTAGGGCAAGTTTTTTGTCTGGATGGCCTAATGAAAAACACTGCTGATAGGTGGAATTATGTGAAGGGTTTGGGCTTTGTGTGTGTCAAACTCAGTTCTTTTCTCATGTTCAGTTTGTGACTAAAAACCTTGTAATCTGTTCTGTGAATTTACAGGTATGTTCTGTAGTGTACTGATGTTTTTAGTGGAAGTAGCTCATATGAGAAAACTGTCCTTTTGCCAATATAGTTTAATTTCTGCCTTAATCCCTGAAAACTGAACTTTTTCATAGCGTTAACAGCATGATTTTACCTCTACTGCCAACAGACTAAGATTTGTCAGTTGTTTATCAAACCTTTGGCATACAGTTTACTAATGTAACCTATTCTGTAATTTAGGTTTGGCTCCCTACTATAGCTATTAATACTTATGCACATTTGTTTATCAAACGGGTGATGATTGTTTTTCTTCTTTTCTGCATATTTTCCTTATTTTAAGGTTCTGAGTGTAAGTGTACTTATGAGTCCCCCAAAATCATTTGGTAGTGTTGCAGACATGTCTAACTGAAGAGCTCGTCTCAAAGGATTGAGTTCAGCAGTGTAACATCTAGCTAACAGCTGTTTTTTGTAGACATTCCTCAGAGATTGATACTGGGACAAACATAGCTTAATGTTTTTATTGAACTCCTGGATGAGGAGTTGGAGCGTGTCACAGGAAGTTCACTGATGATACCAAACTAGTGACCTGACAGGAGGATGCAGAGAAGAGGGAGTCATACTCTTCTGACAGTTGCACAGCAATAAAATGAGAAGCAACAGAGACAAGTTGCAACACAGGAAATTTTGATTAGATGTTTGGAAAGGTATTTTACCATGAGGCTGATCAGACTCCTGAACTGATTACCTAAACGAGTTGGGGAATCTCCTTCCCTGGGGACTTTCAGAACTCCGCTGGGTGAGGCCCTGAGCAGCCTGATCTAGTTGGACCCACTTTGAGTAGGAGGTTGGACTGGATGACCTTCAGAGGACCCTTCGAACCTACATAATTCTTGTGTTCTGTGAATGAGCTAAGGCTATTCAGGGAAGACAAGCCCAAAGAGCCCAGATAATGTTCTGGATTGTGTTTAAAAATTTGCACAATAATCTATGACTGGCAAACCAGATAGATGCCACTTCTATTGTGAATCAAACTGGAAAGATTGCCATAATTTTATCCTAGAACTAAGACTGCTTGATCTTAAGTCTGGGGAGGGACTGTTGTACAAGAGTGTGTAGCGATAGGACAAGGGGCAATGGCGTTAAAGTAGAGCAGAGTAGATCTAAATTGGATATCAGGAAGAAGTTCTTTACTATGAGGGTGGTGAAGCACTGGAACTGGTTACCCAGAGAGGTGATGGAGGCCCCATCGCTGGAGACATCCAAGGTCAGGCTTGATGAGACTCTGAGCAACCTGATCTAGTTAAAAAGATCCCTGCACACTGCAGTGGGGGCTGGACTAGACGACCTTTAAAGGTCCGTTCCAACCCCACATCTTCTATGACTCAATGATGCAATTGGATGTCTTTTCAGAAGATGTTTTAGTTAACCAAAAGTTATTATGCTCAATGCAGGAAAAATGGACGGGTGTGGAGAGTCTGTAGGACATTAGATGTACCTGGATTAGATGACTTAATTATCTTTCTGTTTTTATATTTTTTTAATCTACTGTGAATAATTGTGAGGAATGGCTTGTCCCATGAATCTGAGTCTCAGGTCCATGCCAGTACACAATTGCATGTGGTCTCACTGCATCCTCTGCATTGGGCACTGCTGCCCTGAATTAACTGCAATTAACTGGAGTGTGTTTGTAAAATGTTGTTGTGCATCCCAAGGGATGTGTCAGCTGGCAAGAGGTCAAACTTGCCTCTCCCTACTGCTTAATCTTGAAAGCTTGATAACTTACAGAAGGCATCTAAGATAATAGGAGACCTGCTGGAGATACCTGGAGGTTCCTACTGAACATTGCCCAATGCGTCTTTCTTTCATGTGTTCATGCAAAAAGAAATTATTTTGTTGTCTCAACTTGTACTGTGTCAATACTGTGTATGCTTCTGTTGCTTGTGTTTTGGGGCAGGAGGTTATGAAATATGGTCCTGTGGCTTGTGTTTTTTTCATTTTTCTTTTAAATACTGGAGGTTAGTCACAGAAAAAAAAATAATTGCTCCAGTGATTTCTAGTTCTTTTAGATTCTTAGCTCTGTAATGCTCAGGAATACACTGATTTCTCTGAGGTTTTCTTAAGAGAAAATCTTTTTCCAAAGAGTGCAGTGAGGACTGTGATTTCACTTGTGTTCTCCATCGCTCCATCCCCTATAGTATGGGCCATGTTTGCTTCATAGCATTATTTGCTGGGAGCCCTCTTTGAAAAATTGCTTGCTATTTTAGGGATCTAAGACAGTCCCTCTCCTGTAATGTCCCAGATAAAAGGAGCTGTGGTTTCTTGTCTGTTACATGCAGAAGGTATTGCAGAGTGTCTTGTGGACTAGATGGTATGCAGAGAGACCTGTGTGGCTACCTACAATCATGGAAGGTTTGATTCAGTGGTCTACATGATTTCTCTCTGTCTGTGGTCCTAAAGATCAGCCTTAGAAAAATGATTACATCCTTGCCATCTTCCTACCAGGTGGCTGACAAGCCCCTATTTTACATTCACTGGGGGTAAGTCAGGCAAATGTATATAGTGCATTTACAGAGATAAATGTTAACTGCATTACTGAGCACCCTAAAAAGGGATTTTGAACATGGATGTGGACACAGTGTTGTGGAGAATAGAAGATTGTGCTGAGGCAAAGGGCAGAGTTGAACTGTGGAATACAACTAAGTTGGGACTTTCTGGTATTTGGAAAAATTAGCATCTGTTCATCTGGAAGGCTGAAAAACTGTGCTTAAGATAATTTTGAGAGTTGCTTAAACTGGATTCATGGTCACTTTCATGCAATGGCTGGAGACTACCTCAGTGTCTCTTCTGAGTCCATGATCTTTGCTTCAGGGCCACTACACTAGTTCCTATCTCTCTGCTGCTCTGAGAGAGTCAGGTTTTTGCTTCTGGAGTAGAGATATTGATAGTTACATATGATCTACTGGCTAGGCTATGAAGTACAGCTCAAAATATAAAGTTAATACTAAAAGTAAAAGCAGGAAATACAACTGAGAAATTTTTTAGACTTGAAATCCCACTATTATTCTATTATTTTTTTCTGACCTGTCATACACACACCCCCACCTCGCCTTCTCCAGCGTGTCTAATGTGGAAAGTGAAATTATCTTCACAGCTTCTGCTTCCTTGAAGTCTGCCTTCCTGTTCTGCTCAACCCTTCTCATTGCTATTTTGTATCTGTCCTGAACTTGCTGATAGGAACGACTTAGAGACAAGCAGCTTCCTACCACCAGCTACATTCCAGAAAGCTTTAATTTGTTTGGGAATGTAAAACCTTGTAAAAACCAGCTATTTAAGATCCCACAAATAAAATACCTGAGAAAAATCAAATTACTGTAGGAAAACTCTATTTCAGGAGTCCTCTGTGCTAATGCTACTTGCTGAAGACTGTTGGTGTCACCTGCAGTGTGTGAGACAGACACAGCACAGCTCTAACAGAGCTTGTGTTCTGTTATGTTTACAGATAGATCCCAGCTGTGTGTAGATATAAATCAGGAGTAATTATACTCAGACCAACTACAAAGAATAGTTAGAGATCAGAGTTTAGTTAAGAATAAACTAACGATACAGTGTCTGATGTTCTTCTTGCCAAGCCCTTGTTTTTTGCAGGCTGGGAGAGAAGATAGGTCTGTCTTCCTAACTATATTTGGACTCTTCAGTGTGTGTTAATAGTAACAGCTATTAATATTAATATACTCATTTGTTAAGCTGAGGTTAGAAAGCTAACATCTGCTATTGAGTGGCGAACTTGATTAGGTCAGTTCTATGACTGATAAGGTTGTTTGCCTCAGTGGGAAACTGAGGGAAAGAAACTGAGTGGGAAAGAAAGAGAAATAATCTTTCCCATACTATTTAGTTCCCAATTTGGTATAAATTTAAAATATATTGAACCAAGTGAACATGACTGATTTCCTACAAACAGAGGTTTATGCTAGTTTATGTTATTTCACATTAGACTAATTGTCTAAATCGATCAGATAGGTGCCGATTTGATGCTTGTAAGCACACTTTTTATGTTCTGCTGTTTCTTAAAGAGAAGTGCCAGTATGACATTTCAAATTCAAGATGATATGAGGAATTTATGTAACTTTACTGTTAAAAACTTTAGTAAATGTAATATCTTAACCTGATCACATGAAAGATGGCACAGATAACTTGCCACTTTTTTCCAGCTTAGTCCTGATTGTGAGAGAGCACCTGACTTTACTATGATAAAAAGCCACTGAAACCCCTAAATCTTTCAACTTTTTACACCAAAAACTATAAGCAGGACTTAGTGCCTTAGTCCTTCTAGAAACATCTTTGATTTGGGGTTATTGTTTTCAGACAAGTAAGTTTTAACCACTGTGCTGCGAGTAGGGAATCTGCTCTCAATGGCAGCGTGAATGAACGTTTTCTGTATTAATATTGTCATACCCAGGTTTTAATCTATTACTTGAGGTACATGGAGTTTTACATGGACCAAAAGAAGAATGTGTCAAGAATTTGCAGAAGGGCCGTCTGCTGGCCATTAGCCCAGGTGGTGTTCGGGAAGCACTCTTCAGCGACGAGATGTATACGATTCTCTGGGGTGATCGGAAGGGCTTTGCTCAGGTGGCCATTGATGCAAAAGTGGTAAGTATGGCAGGTCACAGAAGAGAAGCAAAGACTGTTAATAGTACTTCCTTTTGGTTGTCATGTATTTGTTGTTACGTTGCTGAGTGCCAATGAATATGGTCTGCTTGCTCCCATAACTGCATTTTGAGACCCTTCTTTTGATGTTGCTTTTGATTAGAAGGCTTTGGAGTCAGTTAAGAATAGTGTGGTCAGGAAATCGACAGTTTAAAAGAATGGGATATGAAGTCCAGGGCAGTTTCTACATTTCAAACTTGTGCTGTTTTACATTTACTGGTCAGGGTTGTGATGGCTCAGCCTCTGACCTGGGAAACAACCATACGTCAATATTTCTATTTCCCCTGTCTTTGAAGGATACTGTGACCCGTGTACTGTATTGGCATTTTTATGGTAGAAAGGGATGTCTAGGGCATGCAGCAGCGGCAGTAGATGCTGTATGCTAGTGTGAACTGTTTCACTTCAATTCTAATTGAACTTGGTCAGCAGGCAGATAATTATTCATATGGGATGACCTCTGAAAGGCACATAGGTGTATGATTTGTTTGATTTCCAACTATTTTAATAACCCTTTCACAGTCCCTTTCATTATTTGTACTTGAAAGATGTGTACCTATGCCTATAGGTCTGCATACTGCTGATTTGAAAGTAAGCCTCACACCAGGAGTTTTATGTTTAGGTACTGTCACAGAGAGACTAGTTAAATCTTTATATTTTATACAGAAATAAAATACATGTAAGACCAAATTTTAAGTATGTGTCACTTTTATCAGGGGGAAAATAACTCAGTTTAAACAGCATATTTTTAACTGAGTTAGATTTTGCTGATGCATTGTAATAGCATATGAAAAGCCATTCTGGGGATTCAGCTGTGGTTGTAGTAGTTTTATTTATTTTATTGAATGTATGTTTAGTTTCCTTTGTGCACTCACAAAGACCTTGCAGCTTCATCCCCCCCAAAAGAAAAAAACCCAAACAACAAACAACCTGAGAGGTGCAGTAGGATAGGAATAGTATCAGAAGCAGGCTGAAAATGGGAAAAATATGTTTAGATTTAAAGGTGAATTTTAAGTCACCATTAATCATACACATAACTCCTCGTGGGAAAGAAGCATATCTAAAACATCAGAAAAATGTGTCTTAAACTGGGACCTTCAGTTTCCTGAGGTTGTCTCATTTCAGCAGGTTTTTTTTTTTTTGCCAAAATAGTTGTCATATAAACAGACTTGGAACATACGAAAATCTACTGGTGTCAGAAGTACAATGTTCTAAATAAGATGGTTCTAGAATAAGGACATTTGATAGCATTCTCTTTAGGCAACTGCACTTCTTTTTATATTCGGTAGTTGCATTGAATTATTTACAGGCTTCCCTCTGCCCAGTGAAAAACAACTTGATAACTGTTTCAAAAGTTTAATTTACTAGCTTATGTCAATATTTTTTTAAACAAGTTTGAAAGAATCTAAATGTTTAAAAATCCCATAGAGTTCTGTATTTTTGATGATGCTGTGTACAGTGAGTACATGCTTTAAAATGATATTAGAAAACTTAGTGTAGTAGTCAACACCCTCCTGGTTCTTAAATCTTGATGGTTGTTTGCAAGTTCAAAACCAGCAATACAAACTAAGTATTTAACACAGTTCCAAATATTCATCAGCAAAAATATATCATGCATGTGTACTGAATGTGATATATCATGTGTGAAGCAATACAATCAGCATAGCAGAGACAAATCAGACAAGTTTAGGGTCCCAATATGTGAACTCTTCCCTTTGAACGTAACTACAACTTAGGTAAAAGGTTTAACTGCTTTAGTCACAGATTTGCAAATTCTGTTAGATGAGGGGAAGGCCTAAGTGCTCTATTGATTCTGAAATCCAGAACTGCTTTGAGAAAATGGACTTGCTGAAACAGCGACTCACTGGAATCTCATGGTATTCTCCACCTTGAAACCTCATGGCAAAGGGTAGCAGAAGAATTTAAGAATACTTGTTTTGCTCTTTATATGTCCTTGTCTGAGAAACACTTCTGAAATCAATTGGCTTGTTGGGTAGAAGTTTTAAGGTAGTGCTATCTTCATTAAATTCTTATTTTATTTTTTTTTCCCTCCTAGCCCATCATTCCTATGTTTACACAAAATGTTCGAGAAGGCTTTAGGACATTAGGAGGAATAAGTAAGATATTTTCTATTTTTTTTTGTAGTTTATTTTTCCATATGTGTTTAGTCTATCACTATAGAAATAATCTCCATATACATTTGAGATTTGACACAGCCTTGTTTCTGGAGGTTTGGTCTCTGGTAGAGTTCAGAGATGTTATTAGGATTTAATACCAGTATTGGATCATGGATGTTGTATTGGCTCATCTAAGTTGCTCTCCATATAGCAGTGTGCCTTCACAGAAGCAGGAGAAGAAAGGAGAAAGGAGCCAGAAAAAGGCAAATAGATTTAGAGCACTTTTTCTCTCTGCTTATTCTGCTAGGCCAACTCTAGATTTTCTGCTGTCTGTTAAGAAGCAAAGCAAAGAGGTTTGCAATTCACATGTAATTTCTTTGAATTTCCTCCTAAAGCTCTGTGCTTATACCTCTGCCTGTATTTAAACTTCAAATGGTTTGAAATATGTTTAATCTGTAGTTGCTTTACTAATCAGCACTAGACCTGGGGTTCCTCACAAAACCTTGCCTTTGCTTGCTCTCTTTCCTAATCTCTGCAGGATTTCCAGCCAGCACACAAATAGATGAGTGTATGTCTGAAGGGTCCATCTCTGGGGTGATTAGAAGCCCACAGCTCTGCTGATCTGCTAGTGTTAAACCCCCTTTTTTCATAATCTTGAATTTACTGCCTAACAGAAAGGGCCTGAACAGTTTTCTCCATGCCCCATGTTCTGCATCATCATATTCATCTGAGGAACGCAGGGCAGAGCAGTTCTGTTTCTTTTCCTCTTTTCTTCTGTATTCAGTCTTCCCAAACGAGCAGAAATTGAAGCCAAAATAATTAATGCTATTTCTACTGCAGAGGTGCTAGAGGAATTTAATTCTGTTGATTGCTGGAGTCATTACCCCAGTTTCAGCAGTTTTGGATTTTTCTTCCTCCTTATAGGTTGTGTACAGAAAATTCCACATCTTGGTCAGTAAAGGATTTTCTTGTGCCAACACCACAGCTAAAGGAATTTCTTGTCTAAAACTGAGAGAATATTAACATCTATAAGATTTGGGCTAGATGCTTAGAAGGTGGCATGTGGTGAAGATGATGTGTCTTCTTAAAGCTGATTGAAACACCTTTTTTTTTTTTCCTTTTTTTCTTTTTTTCTCCTTTCTCTCTCTTTATAATGTTTCACCGTAACCAGTGTGTGATCTGAAAGAGCAATTCAATGTTTTAGCACAACTGACCTTTAGGCAGATAAGACTATTTCTCATCCTCTGGACCTCAGAAGGACTGAACAGAACAGAGCAGTCTTCGAAAACTAGTTTCTTATGCTAACCTGTAAACTTAACTGAATCTGTAACCTGTATGGAGTAGCATGCCATTCCCCACCAGAGAGTCATATACTGGATTTTTCTCCTTTCTTTTCTTTGCTGCTACGGTTTGGAGAAGAGATTTCGTACCAAGTTAGGGTGGAAACAAATCTGATGTTAGCATGAATACTGCTTTTAGGAAATTAAAGGGTAGAATAGCACTTGAGATGGCATGTTGTTTGACAATCTGTGTCAGGGGTTGGATTACTTGACAAGCCAGTTTCAGTTTTAAGACATACTTGGAAAAAAAACCAAACAACTTCACAGGCTAATCTCAGTCTCTCTCTGTGTCTCTCTGTCTCTCCTCCCCACCTTCCCTTTTCCTTCTGCTTTCCCCCTCCCCCAACATTTTTTTCACTTTAGAAATATTTAGGACACTATATGAACGTATTCGATTGCCATTAGTTCCTTTGTACGGTGGGTTTCCAGTCAAGTTTCGTACATTTGTTGGAGAACCCATTCCGTATGAACCAAATATAACTGCTGAGGAACTAGCTGAAAAGGTAAGATGGATATGCATATATATATATTTATATTTATATATTTAACATATTGACTGTTCTGATACAAAACATTGGAACATTCTTGTCAAGTGATTCTGCCTTGGAACTAGTTATAGAAGTTGGTGGAATTATGATAAACTTTGGACTTGCTTAGCTCTGAATGTCATTCTTAAATGCTATATTTTTATTACTAACCCTTGCAGATGTTCTAGGCCTTTTAGAGTCAATACTTCACACTATATTTGCTTCAAGAAGTAACTTGCTTTAGGGACTGAAGAAAGAAGTGTGGTCAGAAAAGACTGCTCTGGGTTGATAAAGACAAAAGCACTTCACCCAGAGAAAGTGTTCTGGTTCTTGGTCTTTTCAGGAAACTAATGAAGCCTTTCAAATACAGCAAATATGTGTTCACAAACTGTTGAAATTCAATACAATAAAAAAAAATAAGATAATTTCACTGCTTTGTACAGTGTGTTTCCATTTCTATTTCCTTCCAACAAATTCACTTTTCAGTGTTCCCCTACTTCAGATTTAGGTGGTTTATAGAAAGGATTGTCAGGTTTTCATGTTCATTTAGTTTATTAATAGATTTCACAGTGCAGAACATAAAACAGTTAAGTGATGGAACAGTCAGATGGATGGGCTGAGGCAGCCTTTTTTGAATGCTCCACAGATGGTCATTCTGAAAACTTCACTTGAGAGATACTTTTCTTCTTGACCATGCAGGTGTTCAGTTGTCTCCCCTCACCTGTTTAACCTCTGATTAGATCTCTGCAAAATGACATCTTACAATGTTTTATCTGCACTGGCTTATGATTATGGAAAACTGATTGTTTCTTTTGAGGGTTCAGTCTGACAGGACTTAAGAACTGTTGCCTTTCAGGAGAGAATGTGTTCAGATTACTTTCAAACATATTTTGGTGTCTTACATTTTTGCCAGCCCTCACTTGCCTCTGACTTAAGTGCAGATTCTGCAACTAAGGCCCCTAGAATGTGATCCCCTAGAATCCTAGTTAGTTAGAGCGATTTTTTAAAATTGCATCTCATATTTGAGGCTATGGTACAGTATGCATTTTCCTATTTTATGTATACATATATACAATAATATATAATATATAAAATAATGTAATATGTATAATTATATGATTATATATAAATTAACCTCACAATTTTTACCTAATAGAAATTTTAGATCCGTAAAAACACTTAGGACCAGATCTATAAAGAGTTGTGGACAGGGACCTTCTCCCAGGACTTAACAGTTGATCATGTACTTTATGTGAACAGTGGGAGCTTGTACCAAGAATCAGTATTCCCCTTGGTGTCCACTGGTTCACAAAGGGAAATAGTTCTCTGTTCTGTCACTGGCCTTAAGAATTCAGCAGCCTGTGCTTCTCTGGGCAGAACTAGCAGGTTACGGCATGCCCTCACCATAGCTTTGGCATATTTCCCTGGTTTAGAATGTTGCCCATAGAGCTTTTATATAGTAGGAATGGCTGCTGTTACCTTCTTGGCCTGCAGTGTTTTTGAGTCCAAGTGAACCCTCCTGTCATATGCAATATTTTAGGTGTGGTCTAATCATGCTTTACAGAACCTCCTGCTTTACGGGCATTGGGTGCAGGGATAATTACTTTTTACATGCCAAGTGTGCTGAGAGACAATTGTGTTTCCAGTGCTGCTGCTTAGTGTGTGTAGAAGCAAAGCTTTTGCATACTGGAACTGTGTTACTGGTGTAAACCTGGCTATAGACAGGAGTTTCTGGGCTGCAGTACAGCACACAGGCACTGACATGCTTTCTAGATCAAAGCCTCTTCATTAATTTATGCCATTGTCATTTTACTGTTGCGTATCTTTAAAAAAGCTTGTGTACACAGACACTAGAGGTGAAAGATACTAGTTGGTATGTTTCTTGGCAGTGATCACACAAACACATTCTGTAGGCTTAAATATGGAAAAATAGTATTATGACCTTGGAGTAGTTCTGTGACATTTGAAAGGAGGAAAAGAGTCTAGAAATTGTGTTAATGTATGAACAATATAAAGATGACTCAATCTGACCAAGCACTCCAAGCTCTAATAGACAAACATCAGAAAGTACCAGGAAATATATTTAGGGCTTTAATGGAACGATTTCAAACACAAAAGAAAGAAGATTAAGGTCTTCTAGCTAAACTATTATTTAGCTATAACAGTCTTAAACTCATTAGTAACTTATTCATTCTTCTAATACATTTTAAATACTGTCCTAATTAAACTGATGTATAACTTAAGCTGTAAGACACTTTCCCTTCCCCTTCCCCCCTGTCCAGTGTCAAGCTCAGGAAACCGAACTTCAGATCATTCATAATGGGGCAAAGCTTAGTCTTTGATAAATGCATTCCTACCTGGAAAGTGTTTTTTGACACTTCAAGTCTTTATGTACATGGTCTGGTACCTTTTTTTTTTTTTTTTTCCCCCTGGTTGCTCTTTAATCTGAATGTTAGACAGTGAACTAAGAAAGTTTGTTACAGAAACCACCCCGATGTGGTGAATGAGAACCCCACAGCACATTGGTGTTCCAAGCCCAGCCATATTGGATGTCTGCCCTTGAGCAGAGAGTTCTCCCACATACTGGTCAGTGACTCTGCAAATTCTCCTTAGAAAGAATGAGCCAAGCATTTAAACTTCAGAAGTGGAAATGATAGTAGTGTAAGCTTATAAAGCTTTACTTTGAAGGAAGGAATAGATTAGTACAATACTCCTTTTAAAAGCAGTAGTTCCTTGAAGAACAGGATAGACATTCCCAAAACCCCCTTAAATATGTGTAAACTATTAAACATTGATATTCTTCAAATGCAGTTATTTAAGTAAGTTATTCAGTCAGGTTTGAGAGGGAAATCCTGTGTTCTTTCTTTAAGTGAAAAAAATTGAATGAACAGGAAAGAGTTGCTTTTGTGCACTTACAGTAAATTAAATTATTATACTTTTTTCTCAACTAAAACCTATACTTTTTTTGTCCAAATAGGAAATATCTGAAATATTTTCTCCGATTGCCAGAACGTTTAATGTACAGTTCTTAGGATAACATCTGGGAACTCTTTGGTTTTGAGATGAGAACAGCTTCCTTAAGGAAAGAGGAAAGAAGTTTTTGCTGTATTACACGGTGTCCTTCCAATATGGTTGGAGTTGGACCTTTTCCTAAAAAAAACACCCCAAAACTGAAAAAAAACCCCAATCCCTTGACTTTTTCAAGTTTTATTCAATTTAGTATCCACTCCTCCCACCATTTAAGCAAAAGCTTAGCTTTATATTCTTCTAAATGTGTACATTAGTGAGATTAGGTAAGCGCATGTGGATGTTACCCTATGTCAGAAAAATATAACTTTATGGGAAGGAGTCTATAAATTCAGTTTACAAAAAGCAAAAAGCTTACTTTTTATATAAAAAATATTTTATGTGGTGTTGAATTGAACTTACTAAAGGTTGGGGAAGAGTCATGTGATATAAAATTAAATGCCCATTCTGAAATGTTTTTAAATTACTTGAGTTTTCTTTGAAGGCAAGATTGTGTTCTTTTTAATTTATCAGAATGTTTTGTAAAAAAATTATGTTAACACACTATGTCGTTAAAATTGGTAATGCCAAATTCCTACACTGGAGTGTAATGACTTTTACTGTCCCTCTTGAGGAAAATGTACATCATTTTATATTGTGAAATTCTTAAAGACAGCTGAACATATTATGTGCTGAGGTTGCATGTATGTGAAAGAAAACTTGGTTTAAAAGTTTCTGTTATACACTGACAGACCTTTGTGATCTGAGATTTTGTAACATTTATTTTACTAAATACATGAGCTGCTTGATGCAGTTTTGTCCCTTTAAGTATTGAAAGATGAGTATAAAACATGAAGGGCAGTATTGGTACTTTTCTATCAGTACTCTGTATTTGTGTAGGCCTTTCATATTTTTTTTCTATATATAAAAAATAATGTATAGAAGAAACCTTTCAAATAAAATTGACAACTGGAACAGGCTTCTGAAGTTTTGTGTTGTGTTTGAACTAAATGAAATTTTACCTGGCCTGCTCCAGTGAACCATCAGTGGTTTTGAGCACCACGTTGTGCCCTTGAGAAGCTCTTCTCACCTAGTGTCTGGTTAGGGGATGGGAGAATCAAAGTCCCAGAAGGAATGAAGTAAAACCAATTCAGACAACAGTAAAGGAAGAAAGTCACGTAAGCAATAAATTCCGATTTTTAATAGTTGTAATCAGTGCTGCAGAATGCACCGACAGACACTGCAATACCACTGTAGTTAGGTTTAAGACAGAAAAGATGTGATAAATTCTGACTAGTAAGGCTTATTTATATGTATTTGGTGTGTGAATTTGGTAGGTGATTACCTACTTAATTTCATTGAAATAGGGGGCATATCTGGAGAGACACTCTTATGGGTGAGGCTACCAACCAGGCTTCCTTTTAGCTGTTTAGGTTTACTGTGTGTTAGGCAGAAGTATTTAAAGGAAATTTTAGCAGCATTAGACTAGACTGATGATTGCCTGGTTAGCCTTTGAGGATGCTGAGGACATTCCAGGATTCTCCATGTGAACAACATAGCCGGGATGTACATTTTTAGGTTATTTGGAAGTAGAAATAGACTGGCTGCTGTACTGACAGGTATTTGTCATTATCTCTCAGCAAGACTTAGATCTCCTACTGGCCAATATACTCTCCTGTTGTGTCACAGGAGAGCTCAGTCTGACCACCTATTATTAGAATGCTTTCATATGAAATTAATCACTGCAAATGCAAGGTAGAGAAGTTAATCAGTATCTTCAGCACAATTGTGTGGTTCATCCAGTGTTGGGTTTGCAGTTGTGGGATGTTGCTTCATCCAGTTAGTCTGTAGAGAAAGACAGAGCTGTGGTAATGCTTAATGTGATAGCTCCACAGTGCTCAATCCCCATACATCCCACACTAGACTGCTTTTCTGGTGTCATTTTTGCTCCCAAAAATTATGGTACCAAAGCTAGATGTGAAAGTGCATGGAATTGCTACATAAGTGTAATAGCACAGAAAAGACATATTAGGCAAGATAATCCTCCAAAACTTGTCTGCTGAAACTGGATGAGGCAATCTGATGCCACTCACTTCATTCTAATCACTTCACGTCTGCAAAGGTCCTTGCCAGCAACAGGGATAATGTGTTTCTACTATGCAAAGCAATGATGGTAATGCCTTCTTGTATATATATATATATTTTATTCAGAACCAGCCAAAATAAGTGGTAGTCTCAACACAAAATGGTTTCCTCACCATGGGTTATTTGTAGGATGTGCTGGTTTGTTTTCTTTATGCAATTTTGTTCTGCACAGATGGTTGCAAATTTACCTCTTACTACTTTGAATCTTGTCATGGTATACACTGAGTGCAAGCCATGTGTTGCTTTCTGAAACATTTGAAAATGGATGTAATGATCTCCATGTCAGAGAACTGGTGACAAAAGTGCAATGCACTTTTGAATTGTAGGGCGAATTTTTTTTAAAACAAAAGTGCTCGTTCGCGCTCCTTGACTGTGTGTGGGTGCATGAAATATAACAAGAAGGTAAGATACCATTTGGAGTTAACATCAGGCTGCAGGTACAAGGCAGACCAAATCTTTTTTCCCTACCAGGGAGCATAGTAGATTGTTGCAGAGCAGATCCTAGTCCACCAGGCCTTGTGTTGCAGCAGTCACATGAGAGCAAGCCTGTCACTTCCTGCTGTCCTAGTTATGGTAACGAGACAGTGTGGCACAATTCTTCAGATAACCTTTGGCTCCTGTTTTCCAGCTAAAATGGCTGCATCCTCTGGAAACAGGAGATGCCCAAGTTCTAGGAGAATACAGAGGGAGTACAGAGGGGGAGTGTTGTTTTATATTCAGATAAGATCTTTTAAAAAATAAAGTCAAAAGGCAAGAAATTGATCCATTTTTACCTAAATCCTTTTAGTGGGAAAAATAATGTGCCAAACATCAGGGAGGCTAGGAATTTACAATTTTCTGTCATCTTTCCAGGGAATTTGTGGCAGGTGAATTGGAATTACTCCCGTCACAGGTGTGGCTGATCCTCATGTACTCCAGTGGTGCTTGCTTTTCTTCTAGTACAGTTTTCTCATGGTCAGGTCTACATTGTGTTCAGAGCAGCTCCAGTCTTCCTTAAGTTATGTCTTAAGCAAAAAAACCAGAAACGGAGACCCCAATGAACATTTGTTCTCTTTGATCTATTTGAAGTCTACCAAAGGCACCTAGAAACATTTCTGAGCTCCTGTTTCAACTTACAAATCCTGATGATCTGTGTGACGCACAAATGTTGCGGAGGTTTGCACAGGCTGTACCAGCAGCACATGCCCATATATTCTCCGTCATGGGGTGCATTGAAGATTACGCAAGACCAACTGTGTGTGAGATGGCTTTCAAAGTACAACAGTATGGAGACATCATCTCTGATTCCCATCAGTTCCACACCTCAGCCATTGAACAAATGACTGACAGAATAAGATGCCAAACAGATGGGGAGGTGAACTCCAGAATCTCCCTAGAGATCATGCATTGCAATCATTAAGAAGAGACGTCCTGCTACGAGACAGCAGTGAGAGAGACAGGACCCACTGCGACGCCAGCTCTGGTCTCTCTTGAAAAATTATTTTAAAGAGGACATGAGAATCTGGGACAAGAAACCCACTGATATTCTCCAGATACATGTGCAAGAGCTACTGAAGAGAGAAAGGCAGGAGATGGTTCTTCCAAGAAGGCTGCATCAGTCATCTCCCAGGATGGTGCATCAAACACTAATGCTCAATATTAGAGGTGCCCTGCCTCCAGCCAGGGGGGAGGAGAGAGACAACCGAGTTTACTGAACTGTAGAGTAACCTTTCTCCTCTCCATCATGCCACCAATGTGACTTGGAGTAAATGGACTGCTTTAATCACCCAGCGACCTCAAATAGGAAGACCTAATCATCCAGGTATTGTTGAAGCAATTACAAACTGGCCAGATGTCACCCACTTTGGAATGCAACCACAAGAAGTGGTGTGATGGGCTCAAGAAGCTCCACCATATGATCATCTGCCAAAGACTGAGAAACAGTTTACTCTTTTCACCGATGGCTCCTGTCATCTTGTAGGGAACCACCGGAAGTGGAA